TTTAATAATCAAAGTTTTAATGGATATATATATATATATATATATATATATATATATTCATTTCTTCTTTTAATATAAACAGAAAATTATTTTTAATTGCACACAATCGTTGAATTAATTTTGTCTCACAAAATCCTAGTTTCATGCACTGGAAATACAAATAATATCCATAATACATATGTCGATTTTTAAATAGAGGGCTAAAATGTCGCCAAACAAAATGATTAACTCTTTCGCCGCGCAGATCTCGGTCCCCTCATCCATAAGCGGGCTTTAGGATATCTTTTTATGCGATGCTGAAACATTCGTTTTTTTAACATCAAGAATATCGAATCTAACCTTTGTAATTTATAGCGAGGAGATAGATTTCTGCTATGTATCACTGTGTGTTATTTATTCTAGAATTTAAAGTTCAACATGTTTAGATAATTATTTAGAATATTCCACCCCATCTAAAATCTTAATAAAAATAAACTCAGTCGACGCGTTTTCACTCAAAATGAAAGAATCTCGCAAAACAACACGGTAGTCAGCTTTGTGACTCAAGTTATTAAATGTTAAAATTAGAGACTTTAGAAGTTAAAATATCTGTCATCCTGATGCTATTAATATAGCACTATGTATACGTTCTGCTTTAATTACACAAATTTACTGCTTTAAAAACACATTCACTGCTAAAACCCCTAATTCACAAGAATTGGCTCGCCAATGCTGGAAAGTTGGATAGAAACATATATGTAATATTCTTATATTGCTAATGTCATTTAAGAGGCGAAAACATCACATCCAGACGATATCTATCTCTTTCTTAGATAGTACTTGAAATTTGCTTCAATATGCATGCGTACATTCCTAACCAACCTTATCCGCATGTATGGAAATCCGATTATTCTCTATCTTTCTATCTTCGCAGGCTCCCCACTTCCAAAAAGAGGCTACGTTAGCAATATAGGAGTATTGCATATATGGATAGAAACAAAATTTTAGTGTCATCATAAGATAAAATTACATAGAATGAACATGAAATTAAACGAGCGTTAAGCGTTTTAGCACAGTATAATACCCATAGTAGCGACAGTGAACTTTTTTGTGATCTGCAATTTTTAGCATGTATCGATTTGTACATTTAGGAATATGGCGGACGTATTAGAGACTTAGAAATAGAAATTTAAATTTAAGAGTCTATCCTATTATAACTCTACTGTGTACACTTCACAACATGGCAGTGAATCATGTGACCTAAGAACATTTACATCAAAAGTGTCGACGTTCAGTGTCATTATTGGGTATTGTGGTTTTAGCGTCGCACGAAATGGCACGTTTATGCTCTGTCCAGATATTCATATCATTCATGTCCATGCATGACCGTATTGCGGGCGCATGCCTGCGGCCCCCATGAGCTATTACCAACAAGAAGTATCTTATAAGTTTATGAACATGATTGCATCATCGAAATATTATTAAAGATCGTCGACGATGGATAAATTTTCGTGACTATAAATGAGGCCCGGGGGAGCCCGAAGATAATTGAAGAACGTGACGTTACCGACAATTAATAAAAATTTATGATTATTAAATATTTAATAATCATAATAACACATTAAATTCATAATTTTTTATTATATAAATACTTTAATTTTAGTGTATAAATAAGTATGCATACTTTTAATGCTATAATATCTTACATATTGCCGAAAAATTACAATTTTTTTCTCTGCAGTTATCATCTCTATTGATAATCAAACTCCGATGATAACATTAAAACCAGTTTTAAATCAAAATCTAGTATTATTAAGTTTTAAACATGTTTTGACTCAAATAGGTCACATCCAAAATCTATATTTGCAAATTTTCTGCAGACTAGCAGTTAAATCATTATAAATCAAGTCATCTATTTTTGATTACAAAACAGGTGACATACTTTAATGCAATCACGCATTAATTCAGTCTAATTTGTAAACATAAAAGCGTAAGCCTCAAGCATCTCGGGGACCGAAAAATTAAGTAGAAGACATGACTATTGTGAGAATCTCCGTTACTGCGAGACATCGTAATATTGTAACACACTTAGAACTCGTAAGCTACAATAAAACTTCTTACACTACAAACGCTGATCTATATTAATTGAAGGACTTTGAGCTCTTACTACCGCCACTGTGATTTCGCCACGCCCTGAGTAGCATCTTGACAATACGACTGGTCAATGGCTAACCGGTAAATTCTATAAATTATGCCCGAAGTTGCATCCTGAGCAGTACAACAAACATATGTACATGTTCTACGAAACTAATAAATATATATACTATATATATACAATAATAAATATATATGTATAAACTAATAAATCATAAAATTAGTATCATATTATTGATTTCTTACTCTTAATCATTTAAATTTTAACAGACACACAAATTTCCATCATAAGTGCCGACCATCTTTAATAGTATCTCATCGGTAGTTGCGTTCACCAGAACGTTTATCTTGTAACTGTTGGAAGTTTTCCTCGCGCTGACTGGGTTATGGTTTCAAATAAAGAAAAATGGCTATCTCAACAATCATAAAATGGTTGGAAAACTATCGTTTTCTGTTGAACGCAATTATTATATTGATTTATTTTTTGTTTATATTGTGCCAGTATATAATGTTTGAATTTTGTTCTATTTATGCTGAATTATTTTGTCTAATTTTTATAG